TTATTTACGTTTTTCGATCTTAGTGACGTAACAATAAAGCTGAACTGGAAATTCTCGTAGGTCAACCTTATATAGTTCAACCATGAGGAAGAAGCTACAAAAGGAGAGGCTAGAGGGGTGTGAAAGTTTGTGTTACGGGTGAAATTAAGAAGGGGGAAAAAGAAGGGGAAGAGAAATTCAGGATGAAAGTAGTAATAATTAAAAAACATATTATTACTTGCTACATGAAATATTTATTTAAATACATCAATAAATTTGTTTAATTTATTTGGATATCAAGAAAGCATCACTTAATATCAACTCAATTTTATTGACATATCATTCATTTTATTTACGAATTGAAATAGAGTTCCTGTCTTGAATCAAAACTTCACAATTTTGGAGTCGAAAATTTAATTCTTTCTGCCCTTCCGTCATTACCGACGTAAACCCAATTCCGAGTTTGAGTAATTAGTCACTGACTCACTGGTTTCGGGCTGCTTGTAAAGCTGTCTTTGCATTACTACAACTCTACAAGTGCATCCATTAATAACAGTATAACACTAACAGTACTCTTAAGTCCTCCTCTTCATTTGTCGATGATGTGAATGTAGAATAAATGATATTTTCTGTGATTTTTACTTGTTTTTCCTTCATTGATATGATATTACCTCATTCATACAAGCATACATTAGAGTTAGTAACATTACTGATTACTGTATTTATTATTGATGTGCAGATGTGATACTGATACCTACGTAACCTACCTAGGTACCGTATTACCTAATTTACCTAATCCATCATTCCATTCCATGGACTTACACATGGACATGCCAATGATGCCATTGACAGGCGACAGCAACCTTGTCCACTGCAAGCAGCAAGCTTTGTATCAGCAACCATATAGCATTTCTTCTGTATCTGTAAGCTTACAGGTAAATACAGCCTTACAGGACGGCTTGTAATTTTGCACCATTTTATTTGAGTCAAGTGAATTCACTATAACAGAAAAAGATTGTACGAACATAGGGTAAACGCGGTATATTCCGACACTTTAAGGACGCATCAAAAAATGAAAAACTATAAAAAAAAAACTGTAGGCGTTACGTAAGTTCTGTTGCCTTCACATGACTCTCAAAACACTTCACTACGCGTCAGCAACGATGAAATGTCACAAAATGTTGCCATATTTATTAAAAAGCCTTTAGAATGGAAACCTACCAAATCCCTATATTCCGTCATTTTGTGTGGCAACATCCGACACGTGGTGAGTCGTATTG